TCCGAGCCCGGGCCCGGACCCAGCCCGGGGTACCCGGGCCCGGGTCTGAGCCCCAGTTTTGCCCGGCCCGGATGGACAGGCCTAGTGTTATGCAAGAGACCACACCAAAGGAGATGTTGGAAAGGCTCGAGGGGATTTATGCGTCGAAGTCGATGATCAACCGATTGTGTTTGAGGATGGAGCTTTATTCATTAAAGATGGAAGAAGGAACTGTAATTCAAAACCACATCAATGCCGTTAATCAGCTAGTTTACCAGCTTATGAATATTAATGAGGAGATTAAAGAAGAAGAGCAGGCGCTACTCCTATTGTCTTCCTTGCCGAAGTCGTACAAGCCGTTAGTTCAGACGATAATTGCAGGGAAGTAAACTTTGAAGTTTGACGATGTGATAACACTTCTACGTGAGAATGAAAGAATGATGGGAAAGAAGAGCATATCTAATGATGGTGAGAGTGCACTAGCTTTTGAAGGTTCTAATCGAGGGAGGAGTCAGGAGAGATGTGACAGTTATCGAGCAAGGTCAAAATCTCGGGCCCGAGACGATAGTGAAAGGGAGTACTATTATTATGGAGAGAAGGGTCGTATTCAACTCATATATTCTTAGATGCATGATGATTTGAAGAGTATTAGACAGATGAAGCTTCAAGATAATGGGAAGAAGACAGACTCTTTGGTGGTTTTGTGTAATGAAGATGTGGTGTTGTTGATGCAGAGTACCGTTACTGATCCAAATAACACTTGGGTGTTAGATTCTACAGCCTCTATGCATGTTTGCAACAACAAAAATTATTTTAACATATTGAATATAGATGAAGAATTTGACGACGTGATTGTTGGAAACAACGAGAAGATGAAGGTTGAAGATGTTGGAAGTGTCCGCCTCAAGCTTCACACTGGGAATGTCAGAAATCTTTATCAAGTGAGATATGTGCCGTCATGTTGTGCTAATTTAATTTCATTGAGTGAGATGGCATCGCGTGGATATAAGTATGTGGGTGAAGGAGAGTGGTGCAAAGTATATAAATATGGTAATTTGATTTTGTGAGGGAGGAAGAATAGCAACTGTATTTGCTATTTAGATGAGCAATCTGTTAATAGTGTAGATGACTCTTCGCAGACTCTTGTCCACAAGGGAGATGTGAATAACAAGAAGAAGAGAGTGAGCTTATCTGAAGTCGTTGAGACACTTGTAGATTTTTCGTCGAGGGAGGATATGTTGGATATTAACTCAAACTCCAAGTTAGGATTGTGTTTTTGATTCTTTGTATAACTTTATGAGAATTAGATAGGGTTATAACTCAAACTCCAAGTTAGGATTGTGTTTTTGATTCTTTGTATAACTTTATGAGAATTAGATAGGGTTAGAGATCTATCATGATTAGGAGATTGTGTTTTTGATTCTTTGTATAACTTTATGAGAATTAGATAGGGTTAGAGATCTATCATGATTAGGAGTTTGGGTTTCATCATGATTAAAAGTTTGAATCATATTCTAATTAGGAAGTTAGACTAGAGACAGAGTTTTGATTTAACTATATATATTCTTCTATTTGTTGGAGAAAAAACCAAGAAGAGTAGAGAGAAGGAGAGAGAGAGAGAGTGTGTGTTTGACAGTCTTTGTCCGTGCAAAAGATTATAATTTGGAGGTGATAGTAGATTGATTTTAATCTCGTGCTTTTTTCATGTTGAAAGTTTTCCACATTAAATCTCATGTGATTCTATTTGCTACGCTTGGTGATTTTTTGGGTTTTTGCGAGATCTAAAAATCCTAACAGCGTTGTGCGCATGCACACATTCCTCTTGCGCACATACATACCATTCGTGCACACACTCGATCATGCTCCAGTCCCTTTTGTGCACATGCATGGTGGGAAACACATACATAAATTCTTCTATGTACTGTGTACATACACAAATAATTCACACACCAACGCTGCGGTCATAACCAGTTAATCAAACAAATTCCAACATACGGGTGTGTTTGGTAATCAATGTGTTTTTTTTGTTTTTGTTTTTGTAAAAAAACACCATACCATGGTGTTTCTTTTTCAAATGTGTTTTGAAAACACCATTTTTGGTCAAACTAGTTTGACCATTTATATAGCGGCAGTGGACGGGTAGGCGGCCTGTGACGACGGCGCGGTCAAGGTGACGGGTGGCCAGCGGCGCCAACGGGTGGTGGGCGAAGGACGACCGTCGGCTACCAGCGGGTAGCGGCGAGTGCCAGCGCCGCCGATGGGGCGGGACGTCGGCTGTTAACAGGAGGCGGCGGCTGCGGGTGGCCGACCGTCGGACGGCCGGCGGTCGACGGGCGGCTATTGTGGCGCGCGACGACAACGGATGGAGGGTGGCTGCGGCCGGCCGATGGGCGGGTGGCCGACGGGTGGTGGGTGGCCGGCGGGCGCGACGGGTGCCGATGGCGCAGCGGCGGGTGGCGCCAACGGGCAGCAAATGACGAACCGGCGGGTGACGGCGGGCGACAGGTGGTCGGAGCCGGGCGGCGGCGGCTGGCGCCCTGAGGTGGCAGGCGGAACGGTGGTCACCAGCGACGAACGGGGTGGCGACGGGGGGGCCGGGCGGCAGTGCCGACGGACGGCGGCGGCTTAGATGAAAAAACGGTATCTCAAAACACATTTTTGGTGTTTTGAGAAAAATGTTTAATTTTTAGATTTTATAAAGGGACAAGTCAAAAAAAAGCTCCGGTTGCTAAACGCGTTTTTTTATTTTTGTTGAAAAAAGACGGAAACGACAAAAACGCCACGGTTACCAAACGCACCCAAGAAATCTACACAAATCTCGTCGCTTTCTTGCCTCCATAAGTGAAAGTAACTCAGTTTGGGTAAAATCAAATGGAAAAGGCTAAGATTGGACTAATTTGAAACAAGTAAAAACATTTTGTGAGGCTTTTACAAATTAACATGCTCACAACCTCTGTAGGAGCTATTTCAAACTACCGATATTTTGAGGGACCACCATTTATGTACTTCTGTAATTAAGACCAGGGTGTTATCTGCAAAAGTAGCGTCTAACTGATCAAGCAACTCTCCGACTCAGCCTGTTCCTCCAAAACCCTAAACCCTCAAAAGGTTTCAACTTCCTCTCAGCTCGTAGCCATGGAGAGTTTCTCAATCCTCTCGAATCTTATCGGATTCCCACTTCCAATCTCAGATCTCAACTTATCATCCTTCGTTCCCTCTCGCTGTTTCTCGCTGTGATCTGCAGGCTGGCGTGGATGCTGACGTGGCGCCGGGGGCAGCCAAAGAGGAGGACTTTCAGGAAGTTTAGCCGTGGTGAGTTCAAGCTCTTCAGCGCTCCCGCTCGCAGGATCCAAGGATCGGGTACGAATCTGTTTGATTTTTTTTGTGGATATGATTTGGCATTTCGAGATCTCTCTCTCTCTCTCTCGGCTTTTCGGTTTTTATTTTTATTTTTGATAATTTTCAGCGGGATTTGAAGTGGAAGCTGAC